GGGGGGGGGGCCACAAAACTCACAGGGGGGCCATGAACCAATGGCTCTGGGTCACTTCAGCGCACTGCACCAGGTTGTCGTTCCCATAAACCGGGGGGAGCTGGAAAACCCCTTTGAGCTCCCTGGAAAATAATCCAGATATAAGGGTACAGACATGCCATGTGCCCCACAGCCTTGGGAGAATCCCCCCCCTGCCTGCCCCCCCGGGCCACTTCCTTTCCTGATGACCAATTTATTAATTGATTTCTTTATTCCCTGCCTTTCCAGCAAAAGGTAGCACTCAAGGCCGATCGCACACTCCGAAAAGAATAAAAGCAGATGAAATCATATTTAGCCAAATGCATCATCATCATCATCAACAAGAACATGACACAATCATGCAAACCAGCCTCACTGTAATAGCTATTAAAATTAAGGAAAAATTTAAAATCAGCAAAAGATGCAGAGTTAAAAAAAAAGCACAGCAGGCAGGCTGGATATTCATGGAAAATAGGGAAGCTGCCAGAGGACTGAAGGGAGGGGTAATGTTGTCCCTATCTTCAAAAATAATAATGTTTTTTAAAAAGAGGAACCTGGGAACTACAGGCCAGTCAGGCCAGGTGGCAGAGGTGGCGTTTCTCCTCCCCACCGGTCTCTTCAACATAACCCTCTTGTTAGGTAGGGCTACGATGAGAGAGAAAGAGAGAGAGAGAGATGGAGAGAGAACTACTGGCCCGTGGCCATTTGGGAGCTCTATGGATTAGTTCTGGACTTAGTTATGGCTCTCCCAACCTCCGGTCCAGCGCTCCAGCCACATCAGCGCCCTAGCAAGAGTGGAGGCTCATGTTAGGTTTACTGCTGCCCCTTGCCCCTTTTGCCCCCTTGTCCCCTTCATCGCCAAACCATCATCAGCACCACCTTCCTGATCACCTGTCTGTCTCAGGGGACCCTTTGCAAGGATGTCTTTCCTAAGGCACTGACCGTTTTCTCCCGCCCTGCAGCCCGAGAACATCCTGTGCGTCACCGCCACCGGCCACATGGTGAAGATCATTGATTTTGGACTCGCCAGAAGGTAATGAATTCCTGTGGTCTTGCCCTGTGGTCCCCAACCTTGGGCCTCCAGATGTTGTTGGAATTCAACTCCCAGAAATCCTAGCCAGCAGAAGTGGTGGTGAAGGCTTCTGGGAGCTGTAGTCTAAAAACATCTGGAGGCCCAAGGTTGGGGACCACATCAGCAAGATTTCCTTTGGGGCTCTGGTGGTGAAGCTCCAAGCGGTCAAAGTTCTTCCGAAAAACAGTGCCAAGCGGATGCCCGTTTTACTGCCCGCTGGGTGTATGTGGCCAAGATCGTTTGGTGTTTATAAGGGCAGAGGACAGCCGTTTAGAGCTACTGAACAGAAGTAACTGCTCCAGAAACAGATAATTGCATATAAACAAAAGATGTCGGCTTTAGGGTTTCAAGAATTTCATTCACAGAGTTAGAGGGGGAGGAAAGAATCCTAAACTTAGTGACAGAAGCCCCTAGAGCGGTGTTCAGAGTTGATCGCTGCTGCGGAAACCCCATATTTGTGGCTCTCTCACTTTCTCTAGTAAAAGAGAGAAACGAGGTCCAAGATAGACCATTTTGAGAGTAACCAAAACTACCTACAGAAACATCCTGGCTATATTGTCACCTTCTACCATGTTTCCCCGAAAATAAGACAGGGTCTTATATTAATTTTTGCTCCAGAAATGCATTAGGGCTTATTTTCAGGGGATGTTTTATTTTTTTACATGTACAACCATCTACATTTATTAAAATGCAGTCATGTCATCTTCTGGTGGCTGCACAAGGGTGGAGGACGGGGTTTCACTTCACTGGGGCTTATTTTTGGGGTAGGGCTTCTATGACGAGCCTCCTGAAAAATCCTACTAGGGTTTATTTTCAGGTTAGGTCTTCTTTTCGGGGAAACGGGGTATTTATTTCCTGCCTCAGTGTCCAACGTGCACGGGCATCTGCGGGCATCGAGAGGGTGCCCATGGCTCTCTATTCCTTCCCTCTCAGGTTCAACCCCAGAGAGAAGCTGAAAGTGAATTTTGGGACGCCGGAGTTCCTGTCGCCGGAGGTGGTCAGTTACGAGCAGGTCTCCTACACCACGGACATGTGGAGCATGGGGGTCATCACCTACATGCTGTGAGTGAGAGAGGGGGGGGCGTGGGCGAGGTTTATTTATTTATTTGGCTTTATTTGAGATGTGGCTATGGCGGCGCAGAGAGTCCACCTTTTCTGCCTGTGGGGGCTTAGATTATGGGGGCTAGGATTGAATGCCGGGGGGGGCTGTTTTCCCTTGGACCCCCTCTCCCTACCCGTGACCCCAGAACCTTGCTGAAGCAGAGATGATGGGATGCTCATTCGCATGATGCCTTCCGCTGTGTCTAGAGAGGGAACTGGATGTGGCACCCTTTCCGATGCTCACGTGATGTGGTTCTGTAAGGCAATTGCTGAGTGGAAACAAGCCGGGCTCTAAAATTCGGCTTGTTTTGGGCCACGAGTCCAAGAATCCCACAGCCAGCATCTCCTCCCCATCCCTTGTTATTTTTTAAGAGGGTCTTTTCTGTTGTGGAGCCTGTGGGGGGTTTTTTTGGCTGAGAGACCCAGGCTGAGCTGTACTACGGGGTGAATATTTGAGATTGTCTAGCAATGTGCCGAGCATTAGATATGGGCCCAAATTCTACTGGGAATGTATGCTTACGTCAGGGAAAGTCCCTACGTTTTTACTGCCAAAAATCCGGCTTATGAACGAGGTGTTAATCGTGTTCCTGGGTGGTTGAACTCTTGATTTTCACGGCCTTGCCTTCTTTTCCCACCCTTCTTCCCAGGCTGAGCGGACTCTCCCCTTTCTTGGGGGACAACGATACGGAAACCCTGAACAACGTCTTGGCTGCCAATTGGTATTTCGATGAGGAGGCCTTTGAAGGAATCTCTGACGAAGCGAAGGACTTTGTCTCCAACTTGATTATCAAGGAGAAAAGGTCTGGGCCCCAGCTGAGGAACGGATAAGCCTTCACTTTGCGGCCAGCTAGAAAGTAAAACAGCCCCCCCCCCATGTGCTTTAAGTCCCTAGTGTGGTGTAGTGGATAGAATAAATGGACTGGGACTCAAGAGACCTGTGTTCGAGTTCCTGCTCACCCATGGAAACCCCACAGGGGGAGATGGGGGGCTGGTAAAGCCACTCTGTAAATATTTCAGTCATCTTGAAAGCTGTATAAGTATCAGGATAAGGCATATCACTCACTCACTCATCCACCCACTCACTCTCTCTCTCTCTCTCTCTCTCTCTCTCTCTCTCTCACACACACACACACACACACACACACACACACACACACACACACACACACACACACACAGAGAGAGAGAGAGAGAGAGAGAGAGAGAGAGAGAGAGAGACGACTTTCCATGGTGCAATGTACGAATTGGACACTAGGGGGAACCAGAGAATATTTCCCTCTATTTTCCAACAGGTGCCCCTAATAATACACAGTGTAACAAACAACTTAAATGAAAGTAGTAGTAGTAGTAGTAGTAGTAGTAGTAGTAGTAGTAGTAACAACAACAACAACAACAACAACAACAACAACAACATCAACAACAACAACAACAACAACAAAGTAATCAATTCCTCAAAAAGTTAAAAGTTCCAAGTTTTCCATAGAGGCCTGTGAGTTTAATTAGCTCCCCCCACCCCCGCATAGAAAGCAATAACTAGGTAAAATCTACAAAACAACAGGTTTCTTAAAAATCACACGCATGGCAGAATTCAGGATTTTGCAGGATTCTGTTGAGAGAGATTGGGGAAGATTGTGGGGAACGGGACGTACATGTTTTGTGCAGCAGCTCCATTGCAACTTCCTTCTTCTTCCCCCCCTTCTCTTTTTTCATGCCAATCCCACAGTGGACGTATGAATGCCGCACAGTGCCTCCAGCACCCATGGCTGAACAACTTGGCAGACAAGGCAAAGCATGTGAACCGGCGGCTGAAATCCCAAGTCCTGCTCCGGAAATATGTGATGCGGAGGCGCTGGAAGGTAACAGACAGCACGACCTGGTTCCAGGAGTGGGGAGGGCGGGAGGACTGGGCAGAAGTGAGATACCAAGAGACGGGTGCTTTCTGTGCGGCTTGGCTCACTCACTTGAGCGGATCAGCTTGGCCTGGCAGCCACTGACACGGCTCTCCCAGGTTGCAGCTTGAGAACCTTTGCCTTGCCCTACCGCAAAGTCCTTGGGCATCTCCCGGGGGGGGTCTCCCACCCAAGGAGAAACCAACTAATATCTCCTGATTCCGCTTAGCTTTTAAACTCAGGCAAGATCTGGTGGGTCCAAGGTGGTCTGGCCATCATATCAGGTGTGGGGGGGGAAGCTTCACACACACATGGGCCCATGCAGGCAAGGAGTTCTGTCACCACGCAGCTGTCACGCAGATGGTTCTAGAAGCAAACCCAGGACTCAGGGGTGTGTTTGTCCCCCTCTTTCTGTGGCAGGACTGGACAAACACAGTTAGTGGCATGTGTTGCTTGGGACTTGCAGTGAACCTCAGCTTTCTTAAAGAGAACAGGCATCTTTAGCCTGGATGCCTGGAAAAATAAGATTTAGTTACGTGTACGCAACCTTGAGGGCAATTTCAGAATCCAACAGAGGGTCAAGTCTTTGCTCGGTTTCCATCTCTGTGGATTACAGAAGCTGATCAAATTCTGCCAAAGAACTTTCAAAGGCCAACTGTGCCTGACGGGCCGATCTTTCTTCTCCGCCTTACGGAGGGCCTGCTGAAGCGCAGTGACGAATTTTCTGAAAGCAAAAACCTCGGTGTGACCCTTGTTTATCGTGCATGGTTTTGAAGTGGCGATAATAGTTCTCTCTTTTTTATTGCTCTTTGTTTCTCTTTCCATTTTGAAACCTCGAGCAGAAAAACTTCATTGGCGTTTGCGCGGCGAACCGCTTCAAGAAGATCACCAGTTCGGGCTCTTTGACCGCACTGGGGGTCTGATCGAGGGGAGGCGTCCGGACGTTCCTGTCGGCATCGAGCGATGTGCCAATGGAAGGGCGGAGGGGGGAAAAAACCATCCCCAAAGGGAAGCTTGAACTGCATTTTGTTTGGAGCGCCCCGTGCAATCCTGGAAACTGTGCCTCCAAGAGACACACAAACACAACACACACACCCTCTCGGGACCGGCCGGCTGTTTCTGCCTCCCAGGAAGGTGGGCCGATGCCTGGCTTGAAAACTCTGGAGGGTAGGCACCATCGGTGTGTCTTACGAAGCTTGTCCTCTTTTCCCTGTGCAATTTTCCCAGTCGGGGATCCTGTCCCCCACTGGCCGACGTGAGCCTTCTCCTCTTCTGGTCTCTGCTACTCCCTGGATATCCCAACTGTTGTGTTCTTCCCCCGCGGGACTCAGCCCCATCCTCAAAGCCTGCTTCCGCAGATGATCCTTGCTATCGCACGGCCATGGCACACCTCACCCATGCTCCACTCAAGAGGCTTGCGGCTTTCAGTCTGGACCTTTCCCACCACACCACGGTCGACCGAATCCTCCTGGGCTTCACCTTGACTCTGTTCTCTAACCCCCGTTTGCTACCTTGGCTTTTTGCTCCAGGGGAATGACGTCTTGAGCTCTGCCTCTGGAGGACCCTGCAGCAGGACCCCCCTCCTCTCTCCCCCCCCCACTGCTCTGTGTGGGCGTTTGCTTTCTTCCAGTTGAGGAAAGGAGCTGCCAAAAAACTGTGCTGTCGAGATTTTAACCTCTTGATTAGGATGAGAACCTCTCCCCGCTTTGCAAAATGCCTTCTCTATTTTGGAAATGAGGCCGGCAACAGAACTGGACCCTGAACAGAACTCTCTTTGTTTAAAAAACACATCAACCATGCTTGAAGTGGGAAAAGCCAACTGGACATAACCCCAGGAGTTTTTCCCAGTCTCCTTGTGCAACCGCTTGCGTTGTGAAGGGGCGTCGGGAGCGAAATGCCACATTTGGCTTGCTTTCTGATTGCTCCCACTGGACTGCCTGGCTGAAACCCTGAAGCTGTCTTCTTCTTTGGATGGGGTGGCCCGCTTTGCTCGGCCCCTGCTGCCTTGGCTTCGCCATTTCTGGCATCTCTCCCTTCTGTGCTTGTCATGGCAGCCGGAGAATCCCACCTCGCCCCAACCCCAAAAAAGATCCCCATCCCTCTTGGTCCCAGGAGAGGCACCTGATGGCCACATCCTTGCTGCTGGACCTTGCGCCAACAGCAAGGTCTATAAGAGAGGGGCTGAGCTCCTCTCTCTTGTGTGGGAGAAGCCGTCTCTGCGAACCACCATCACCTCCTTTGACCCCGAAGCAGGGTGAGCTTTTTGTGAGTTCCGGCAGAACAAGCTCCGGACCACCGCGGCGGGAAAGAGGATCTTTGGGCAGGAAACGGCCCCTTTCCCGGTGGAGCAAAGCAGCCCTGGTGCTCTTTCGCTCGGTCCTGGGCAGGATGGATGTGCAGGAAGTGAACTCCCCAGCCTTGAGGGAGGATTCCCCCAGACAGCCAGCGGCGGTGGTGTAAGCCTCCCGTGAGCGACACCCTTTGCCCTCCTGAGAGCCGCAGAGAAGGGGAACCGGAGACGTGGGGCGGGGGGGGGTTGGCAGCCACCCTCGGACAGCCCGCTTTTATCCTTATGCCGCTGACCATCTGCACTCACTTCCTTTCCTCCTCCTCACCCGTCCATTGAAAAAAGGATGCCTCACAGCCGGCCACCAACAGACAGGAACTGCCATGTGCGTGGCGTGTTTCTCCCCTGCGGGCTCTGGATCCCAGGCCCTGTCGGGAAGCGAATCTGGGAAGGTGGCCTCCACAGAAGCAAGGCCAGGCCCGTGGCAGAGAGAGAGCGTCTCGGGTCAGGCCACCACCACCAACCACACTTTCGCGGTGGAGGCAGGCGCAAGAAGGAACCGTTGTGAGGACTCACAATGGCTCACAATGGCTGCAGGACCTGGCATGCCAGGTGTTTGGAATCCGGCAAGCAACCACGGAATGAACTCAGCGTCCGTTCTTTTTCTGCAGGAAGAGGAGGAGAGACCAGCTGGATGTCCCCGGGGTGCATCTCGTTTTGGGTTTTGGGACTGGGGTTCCCCAAAGGACAGGTGGCTGGGAGGCCAGGCATCCTGTGCTCTGCGGTAAGGCCCCTGAAGAAAAGAGAGAGAAATATATATATTTTTGTGGTGTCCACTAAGGACGTTTCCTGGTGCTGGTGAAGATTAGTATCCTGTCCATTTGAATTTCAGCTAGGAATCCGGATGCTTACTTTTAAAAGGTCAAGCTCTGAGGTTACCTTTGGCCCCGGCAGTGGAGGTGTGTGCATGTGGGAAGAGAAGGGAGCTTTCTCTGTACCAGAGGAAGGGTGAGCGCAGCTGCTTCTCTTAAGGCCTGATGCTTCCCCCCCCCCCTCCACATCCCAGTCTTCTGTCCTTTACCATGTGTCCCAAGCAGAGAAGTCGCCTCCGACCTGTGTCTACCAGACCCCTTGTAATGTGGATTCTGCCTGCCCATCTCGGAGTGCCAGTGTGTCTCTCTGGAATGCAGCTACAGCTCCCGGCTGAATGTAAATAAATGTACAGGCCATGCATTAGCCCTTTGTCTCAATGGCTTGCTTTCCGTCTCTGCCTGGGGGGGAAACTCCACTTTAACTTGGCGTTTTGTGGGCATAGCTTTCTGGACGCCGTGAACGTGCCGAGTGCTGTGCAGATGTTCAGATCCAAAAGCGTAGTGAGGTGTGTGGAGAGTTCAGGGGTTCTGGAGCATTGCTCAGGCAGTATTGTCTGTGCACCGTTTGAAAGCAGAGGGGACGGAAATGGCAACCTAGACATTGCAGCGCCATGCCACTGTGAATGCAGCAGGTTGGATGGTGTACGGCAGTTTCTGCCCATGTGAGGAGGGCCTGAGGAGCCAAGAACGCTTCATCTGGTTTTGCATAAGACTGGCTGAAATATTGTTGTGCATCTCCACATATACCCCGTTGTTGCATCTTACACGAGTTGCAAACAGCCCCAAATCACCCAAAGAAGCCATTAATAATGGTGTACCATGAAGTCCACTCTGACTTATGGTGACCCTTTTTCAGGGTTTTCTAAGTAGAGAGTTCTTAGTTGGCCAGTCCCTTTTTCTGTTTGCCCGAGGCCGTCCAGGCTGGCTCTTCTCCTGGCAGGCACCACGGGGGAATTGAACACCCAACCTTTGGCTCCACCACCCACTACCTAAACCAGTGCTGATAATTCGACACTCCAGTTGACATCATTTTCGTTGGGCAGGCTGAGCTAGGCAACAGCCCATTGGCTGAGGGTGGCTTTGTCGGTTTTATACAGATGTTGTCCTGCAGAGAGGACCACATCTTAAGATGCCCAAGGTAGAACCTGGGAGCATCACATCTTGAAAACATTGCCCGATTGGACTACAACTCCCAGAACCCTCCCGCAGGACCATAGGCTGTCCGACCCGATCACTACAACCCTAGGCAATGTGGGCTGAGGATTCTGGGAGTTGTTGTCCAAAACCAACACCATTTCCACAGTCTGGTGGCTCCTAGGTCTTGTTGGTGGTGCCCAAACCCATGCATTTTAAACTTCTAAGAAGCTTTATATGTAAGTTACCCCTCCACCTCACTCCAAACACCCATGATGAGGAATGGATTGGTCTACCCATGAAGACTGGAAAGAGGCTGGGTCTCTCGCCCCCCAGGAAAAGTAAAGGTAACTTCTCCAGGGAAGTTGAACATCAAAGCTACAGGAGGGGAGAAGAATGAGCTTCGCCACCCCACCCCACTCCATCCCAGGGAAATGAGGAAGTGTTATGGCCGAGGCAGTGGGAGAGGAGAGATTTTACCCGACCCCAAAGCCCAAGCGTCAAGAGAGGGGCATCTCCTTGCTTCTGCAGAACATGACAAAATCTTCCAGTGCACCGACCCGCCATGTTCCAGGCAGGATTCTGGTGGCACTTTTTGTATATTTTTTATTCCCTCAGCTCCTGCTGAGAGGTGGAACTCTGTGTGTGACGACACCGGAAAATCCTTCGCAGTTTGAGCCAGAGTTGACACGGATGAATTCAAAGTGTTTTTTTCAGTGATTCACACGACGTAAAGAACAATGCGAATCAGCCTGTCCTTTTTTTCCTTCCAACCCAAAGTTCTTTCTTTCTTTCTTTCTTTTTTTGTCCCTGGGGGCTTCTACTTTTTTTCTAGCCCTAACAATTTGGCGTTTTGCCTGTGCAATAATTTGTCTCATTCTACAAAAGGACCAGGAGCCCTTATTTTTGGTGGGTTCTAATGATGTAGTAAGTTTGGCCATGATGTTTTTGGGACAGCAGGAATATCTGCCCCTCCCAATCTTTCTCCTTAGTCACTCCAAACTACCTTTTGTTCATTTTTTTAAAAAAACAAACTATTGTGTCTAGCGCTAAATTGCCTTATTGCTGCATTGCTACCTTAGTTTAACGTTAGCGCACCTCCATGCAGAAAAAAGAGATAAAAGAAATCTATCTATCTATCTATCTATCTATCTATCTATCTATCTATCTATCTATCTATCTATCTATCTATCTATCTATCTATCTATCCATCCATCCATCCATCCATCCATCCATCCATCCATCCATCCATCCATCCATCCATCCATCCATCCATCCGAGTTTTAAACTGTCCATCTGGCTGCAAAGACCACTCTGGTCAGTTTACATGTTAAACAAATATAACATCAAACAACCATTAAAACAATAAACATAATAATTATAAAATCAAAATTATACCCCTGTGCACCAAGAAATGTAACTGACAATAATGAACATGATATGGAGGCAAAGCGGCGGGCCTGACAGTATAAACGTTGAGCCAATGCAAACTGCTTGTTTGCATTGACCCGGGAAGCCCCACCCTCGGTCTCTTATGTGTGGGTGGCATGAAGACTTTCCATCACTCCTTAACTGGCTTAGGATCTCCCCCCATCGTTCTCAAAGGATTGCTCTGAAGATCACAGCTCGTTGCTGCATTTTGCAGTCCCCATCCTATGCTCCTACACAGGCATAAATCTCTGCCCGCAGAGTCGTAGTAAACCCACCTCTACGCAAGTGGAGATGTGAAAGCTTATTAAAGGGGTTCATCCGGGAGGTGCCACTGGGCCCCTGTGTTGTTTACACAGGAAGGATCATCTTGTGTCTCGGGTGCAAAGAATTAATTCCTCAGGCAGAATCAGGCAGATAACTTTTGGAAATGAGAGCTACATAGCTTCTCTTTGTAATTTTTCATGGTTCAGTAGAGGCCTCACCCACCCTTCCCTTTGGATTTTGGAAATGAAACTGACGAGACTCATCCACACAAGGGTGTTATATCTTCTGGGTCATTTTGGGTTTTTTAGTTGCAGATTTGAAGAGGTCGTCCCGGTAGACCACATGGGAAGAAAATTTGGTGCTGGATGTTTTGGGATACACTGGGTCATCCTGCCTCCCCACACATCCCAAATTGGGTTTTTTTTTTCCTCCCACCTTGCTGGGGGGAAAAATGTTGCAGAGTGTTAAATTTCTGATTTTAAAAAAATCCCCTTTTGCTACAGCGTAGAAGGACCTAGATCCACAGCTGCTTCGAGCTCCCTAAGTCGTCCACCCCTTTCTCATGAACCAGCACTTAAAGTTTCAATAACTCACTCTGAGACATTTGTAGGAGAAAGAATAAAAACATTTCTTTACTTACAATTGCTTGAGATTATAGACTTGGGCATGCTGCT